CGATACCTCGCAAATGACATTTCAATGGATAGTACTTCTGATGACATACTATCCGGAAATGCAGCAGAAGTTGAGACAAGAGATTGAGTCCCAAATCGGAGACCGAATGCCAACACATGAGGACAGGAATCGATGCCATTATGTCATGGCTTTCATCACTGAGACACTGAGATTCAGAAATGTCGCCCCGTTTGGTGTCCCCCATAAAGCTGTGGTCAGGAGTACAATAGGTGTGATATAATATTATTTCTGTAAAAATATTAAATTTTATTTTATTTTTAGGAAATTATACAATACCTGAAAATATGGGAGTTTTCATATACCAGGGAATCATATGTCGTAATGACAAGGATTGGGAAAATGCCTTTGAATTCAAACCCGAGAGGTTTATTGATAGTGAGGGACAGTTCATCACAACCCGTCCCAAAGCATTGATACCCTTCGGTGTGGGCCGTCGTGTCTGTCCCGGAGAGAAGTTAGCCATCGCTGACCTGTTCCTGGTTTTGGTCCGATTTTTTCAGTCCACACAAGACTATGAGATAGTCCTCGACAGTAACGGTGGTATAGATGCGGATCCCAATAATGCCAATGAATTTGCTCCAATTGAATATAAAGTGAAATTTATGAAAATATGAAGTTTTATAATGTATTCATTAAAAACATAATAAGAAAATAATTGTAAAAATAAATAATAAGTAATATTAATAACAAAAAAATAAGTTCTTAAAATTTCGCTAATTTTAAAAGCTCTTTCTATATTTTTTATAGAATATATTCCACATTATATAATGTAAATAACTTTTTATATGCCTTTAAAAATGTGTATTAACATTTATAAATATTAAGTTAATATTATTAATCAGTTATTTATTAATCCTTAATTTTTATTTAAAATATTTTAATTTAATTCACATGAAATCTTATTTAAAGAATTTGCAAAAGTATTATAAAAACGTTTATATTTTATAATTATAAATATGTTAAATAACAATTTTTATAAATTATTATTTATCCAAAGTAAGATTTCCACATATTTTCATAGCAATGCCCGTACGGGTCGTGAAGTGGGGGTCGGTTTGGGTCGGGGTTTAAATCCTTCACTTTCGGTACATTCGGATCACTCAACAGTTGCGGCCATTTGTCGTCCGGTTTGCTATCAAATAAAANTCGGGGTTTAAATCCTTCACTTTCGGTACATTCGGATCACTCAACAGTTGCGGCCATTTGTCGTCCGGTTTGCTATGAAGTAAAATTATTTGTAGAACAAAAATTTTTGTAAATTAAGCATTGATTTTGAATTTAAATATATACCCGTATTTCGCAAAGATAGTCCACATCCGCATCACATCCCGACTGAACTGACGATCGGTTTCATCAAAAAAGTTGGCCATTTCGGGAGAGAGAGGTATACCAAAGACAAACGGTATGTCCATTCCGTGTCCGACAGCCGACTCTTTATCATCGCATTGAAACTGTTTGGCGTAGAACTGACTTTGATATGAGAGTTCATAAAAGTAAATGTTATGCCAATTGCCAACAGTTGTGGCCATTTGTCGGGCGAATAGATATGTCGGGTATTTCATAAATAAATCGCCGTAAAATTCATAAAACGCTCGCTTCATAGCAGGTGTACTATTCGTGTCCACACTTTTCAGGTAATAGTCCATCACTTTATTCGCATCCATTCCGTGAAACGTGTCGTCCGATGCCTTAACCCCGGATCCAAAATCATTTAAAGTGTAAACCTCTTTATCTTTTGGTATTAATAGCCGGGAAAGGACTGAGCCCTCAGTGCTGTTAACGCCCGCCATTAGATCAATGTCTAAATTAAATAATTATAATTAATATGTTTTGTTATTTATATTAAAAATAAAATTATTTTCAAAAATACAAACCAGAATAAAAATTATTGTTATGGAAAGCTTTTTGTGCCGAAAGTGGCAAAAACTCTGTTTCCAACACCGGAAATGTCATTCCTCTGGCCTTATCCACCAAATCCTTGGCCTCAACTGTCCGTAAATACTGAATCCAATCCATGTCTTCACTCCAACCCAACTCTTTAGCGATACGTTTTCCCTCAGTTATGGCCTCATCTTTACTGATCACATCCCTGTCCTTATTATACATATGAGCGCCGCTCGACATAATAGCCCTTTTAAATAATCCTTTGGATAGCGGGGAGAGAATGTGTGCCGATACGGACCAACTGCCGGCGCTCTCACCAAAAATGGTGATCTGATCCTTATCTCCACCGAACAAATGAATATTTTCTCTAACCTATTATTATATTATATATTTACAAAACAAACTTTAATAAAATTTCATTAATAATATTCTGATTAAAACAAGCGATCAATTTATACCCATTTGAGAGCCAATAACTGGTCATAAAAACCCACATTTCCGGGCGCGTCCTCTCGATCTCCGTATAGGAAACCAAACAATCCTAACCTATAGTTCGGGGCCACAAATACCACGTCGTGTGCGGCCAGTGGTCCGCCGTTGTAGTGATCAATAGACCCAAAACTAAGTGCTCCGCCGTATATCCAAAACATAACCGGTTTATGTGACTGATTGGTTGTGTTATCTGTGGGTAGAGTTGGTGTCCATATGTTTAGCACAAGACTGTCCTCACTCTGAGTGATGGGAATCGGACTTAAAACTACTTCTTTTTGCATACAACTGTTTCCCGGTTTTGTTGCGTCTATTATACCCTAAATATAGCATTTTTAAAATACAGTACAAATATAATTTTTTATTTAATAAATTAAACAATAACTTACATCTCGTGGCTGTTGAATGGGTTTGGGTTTAGCAAACCTGAGCGCACCGATGGGTGGCTCAGCGTATGGTATGCCTTGAAATTGGTATAGAGTTGTGTTGAGCCTCTCAATCACTTGACCCCTCACTCTTCCCGATGTAGTCCTCACGTCAACACTTGTTGTCATTTTGTAATTCAGTAGAAAATGCCGTGTTTTTATCAAATCAAAGCACAATAACTACTTTTAAATTGTTGAATTTTTTAAGTTTTCAATAAAGTTTCTAATTAAATTATATTTGAATAAATCACAATTGATTACAAAGTTTATTTTGTTATGACACTGAGGGGACAGGTATTGTTACGGTTACAGTTTGAACACTTTATGGTCAAAATAAGACTTTATATGTCGGTGGTTAAGAAGAGAGTAAATGTGTTTGCAAACAAGCATTGATTTTTGTACCTCTCTATCCTTGAAGATTAATTATTAATTGTCTTTTAGCAAACCTGTTGTACTGAAAAATTTACCCATGATAACTTATCAATATTTTGTTGCTGAAACGTTATGGTAGAACCAAGTAAGCATGATTAAATTTAGTTATATTTATATGAATTGTCTAAACTTTATTAATTAAACAAATCTAGATGATTGATTATAACTTATAAATAAGTTAATATGTAATAAGTTATTTATAATTAAGATATTTGCTTTTTAGTGGAAAAACTTGCTTAATAGTTATTGTACCGAAATAACCTTGGTCGCACAATAGTGGTAATTGATAACCCAATATACTGTATACATATTTAGATATGAAGTTGCATTCTTTAATTCTAGTGCATTAGAGACGGGGCAGACCTAAAATGTTGTTCATAGCATTTGTAATTATTTTGATTACTATCAATTATATTGTCGTTTTCAGGTAACTTAAGTGTAATTGTGTTGCAAATTGCAATTTATTAACAATAAAATTTAACTTCATAAATGTCTGCAATCTAAAGATATTTTCAACTTTTAATAATAATTAATAAAAGTATTCAAACAAATTATTTTCATAAAATTCTATTTTAAAAATTTAATTTAAATTAATTTTGAAGAAAATCAAACTAAATAATTTTAATAATCTGTAATGAACGGGAGTCATGGTTGTGATAGTTTTGAGTTGGTCATTTTATTTGTACCACAAGTTAGGCCCAATGTATTGTGTGCTATATTGTATAACTTATACACATATTCATTGAGAGAGACATAATTATTAAAAATTTATATTTTTATTAAACTTAACAATTTTTCGAAATATAAACTTTTATTTAAATGTCAACATAATATAGTAACAAATAAAAATAAATTATTAACTTATTAAAAGTGTATCTATGAATATTTATTATGCCATTTTATAAATTTTATATATAATAATGCGATGAAACATAGAATCTAAAAATAAAATGTAAATTGTTATTTAGTTTGTATTAAATTATAAATGAATGGACAAACTTTGAATCCTTGAAATCTATTGATTTTAAATAATTTCCAACAATAAAAGCCAATCTTTTTCTGACCCAAAGCCTCAATAAATGAAGTCAACTAAATAATTAAACAAGGTTGCAATCATGTGGGTTTATATGTTAAACTAAATTGCATAAATTATATTAATAATTACGTTACCTTAAGTTTTTGGTGAATTGTACCATGATTGCCAATAGACAGGGTGTTAAATAATTTATACGATTTAACAGTTTGATTGTCAAGTATTGCCGAATAGTGTATTATAAATAATAAATTACACAATAAAACAAGACATACACTACCAGTTGTTAATCTAGATAAAAATATAATCTGATCACGTGTAGTTACAAACAATAATATTGCTAACAACCACGATATTATTATCCAATATATGGCCAATATTTTTGACCATATAATATCGTTGTCTTTATTAATTTCCAGAATTACTGAATTATACTTTAATATAATGTTAACACAATTTCTGTGAAACCTTTTAATAAATAGTTTGACCTTTTCATTAATAATTGTAATTTTAATTATAAAATAATATATTATTATTGAAAAATAAATCAATTGCCAAACGAGTAATGAAATTGCAACGTTAAAAATATATACCCAAATTATGACGTTTGGCAGCGCTATGTAAAATGGTATTTGTCTTATGATAAATGGGGTTAAATATACCACAATTGAAAAATAAGTCGAGAGTTTTAAAATAATTTGTGTTATTTTAATCATACGTTTACTAAATCGTAACAATTTATATAAGAGTTGTATGTCTTGAATGCCAATACTTTTGGGTGTTTTCAAACCCGAAAGCATTTGAAATACTCTCAAATCAATTTGTTGTATACTTTTCTTATAATTGATATAATGTGTTATTTGTGTTAATAATGGTATTAATGAACATATAATAAATGTCATACTTAATTGTAATCTCATACCCAATAAATACGGTATATCTCCCCAAATAGCATATGTTTTCTCCTTTTGTTCAGGTATTAAAATCAATACAAATTGTTTGAATACTACTAAAAATAATATTATAAATATAATAAATGGATGTTTAAACGTATTTCTATAGCCATTCAATGGCTTATACATCGAGAGACCAATACTATAGAAATGAGTGCCGGCTTTTGGTATTATCACTGATTTTGGTAATAATTTATTCATTTTAATTGCATTGTGTTTATCATTAATTTGATTACTTTTAGAAAACATTTTTATAAAATATTTGTTAAAACAAACTTTCTATAAAATAGCGTAGAATATAATATAACATATAAATTTGTTTTGTAAAGAATTTGTTTTGAAACAACATTTCAAAATATTGTTCAATATTTTACGATTATTATGAAAACAATAAATAA